ACTTTCTAACCTTTTCCCTCCCTCTTTTGCCCGACGGACTTCCGCGAAGAATCTTTCCGCGGGAGAGCCCGGCCGACGCCACCGCGCCGCGCCGCAACGAAAAAACGCCCCTGGCTGCGGCAAGACCAACGTCCGGGGATTTATCGTAGTCGGGGAAGTTGGATGGAACAATAACCGAACGTTTTCTTGTGAAATATGGCGCGTAGATACCGCGTCGTTTCCCTGTGGAACTTGAGGGATCCGGGTAGTCGCTTAATGAGCACGAGCCGGAAAGGGAAAGGTTGGAACGGTGTCGATTAATATTTGAATCAGCGCCTGTCCAAATGGTGCGGGGTAGAAACGATTTAATTAACGAAACAGAAACTTTAAAGTCAGGCGCTTTTTTAATGGCTACTTTAATTTCCTTGTATCCCGTAGATTTCAACGAGTTTTTATTTAGCCGGTGTGTTATCTTGGGAATTGATTTTTAAGTGAATATCCGTTTCAGTTCAAGTGAAATGTTCGTTTCGATTTTCATTCGCAAAAATGTGGCGCGTTTGAACGGGAATAATATTCATTGGAGGGATGTATTTTATAGTAGTAATATTGTGTATTCAATTACAATAGTCAGCAAGAAACGCAATATAATCGAGTTGCACAATCCAAAGCGTATTTGTAATATTCGTAAACTGTATCAAACGCGTAATTCATGGGTGCACTGTAATGAAAATGAATCAATATTTTATGTTCGTACGCTATAAATTCGTTAACACATTGTCTGCCACCATTGCGTATAAAATATCAGTCCCGCAGGCGAAACCCACTTTTTCCCATTCGTTGGCATAATTTCACTGCAGGAATCCTTTCTTTAACATACATGTTCCACAAATTATATACTTTGAATACATTTTACTAATTCTTTTATCATTATTCGGACTTGTATAACGAAGCACTTGAAAAAAATATTTAAACAATTTCGTACACATACAATTCATTTACATTAACATATAAACATACTTCAAAATATTAATTTATACACAATTTTATATACCAGGTTGTCTATCTACAAATATGAATTCATATATGAATATAATAATATATTAACCCTTTGGAGTTGAAGGTTCTTAAAAATGTATACAAAATCTTCAACAGACAAAGCCAAATTATCTATCAATCGCTTAAACAATAAAAAAAAGGAAACTACGTGCTAATCTCTAGATGTTCGAGTAATTAGATCACTCGTCTACGACTTAGTCTTCCAAATATGGACACTTCATCTCGCCGAAATGTCGACAATCGTCCGCAAAGGGTTAATATTCGCCGAAAACAATCCTGAATAGTGGAAAACAATATATATTTGACTGAAAATTTCATTCTCAATCATAAATGATAGCTTCTTGCTATGAGTCAGGACGGACCCTACATCCACTGCGCGGTCAGCCGCCAGACAATCCATCGCGCGAGGGTTAAACGAGGAATTATTCGAACCCTTCACACTTTTTACGAGGATACCGCGATTAGGGGTGGCTCGACGAGCCGTCCCTTCAGACAGCGATGAATCGATTATCCTCGCCGCTCTTCCGTCATTATCCTCTGGGATATAGTAAACATGGCCGGCTCTCGAGGGATGACGAGGGTGAAACGAAATTTCGAGTTAGCTGTTACACTTCGAAAATGTTGACGTCCACTCCTGGAGTGAGCGAAGGGAGACTTCGAACTTCTCTTCTTTGAAACTGAGGTTACCTGCAACGAGATTTTTAGATTTATCTTTGGAATCTGATTGAATTACCCTTTGCACTCCAGACGCGCCTCTCAGTCGACAACTAATTTGATAACATTGTAAAGCTTGATATTGTATATAAACTTTTTGCACTCGATAATATTTTTTATTATAAACATTCATTATTTTCCGAAGAATATTAACAATATTATTTGCAGTTTACACGAAGAAACGCCTTATTCATTTTATATTGAACATTTTATTTTGAACTTTTCATTTTATAATTTTGTTCAGTCGAATGACTGAGAGTCGCTTCTCGAGTATAACGGGTTAAATTTCGTATAATGCATCAATGTGTGATGTATTGAAAGAAAATAGTGTTCTTCCTGAATATACGCGCGATTTCTGGCTAAGTCAATTTCAGGGAATGTTATCTGCATCTCGTTACAGAGCATTGAGTATTTCCAGTGAAAATCTTCTGGAGTGTAAAGAGTTAAATTTACTTTGTCGGAGTATAACATGTAACATTGATTTTCTGGTTCCCGTTTAATCGGATCGAGATAAATTACTTGACAAGTCAGAACTATTATTGGAAGGTGGCATCGACAATATGAGAAAACGAGAAGCTACCGCAGCCGATAATTATTCAGTTAATATTACTAAAAGAGAACGTATGGCTAAACAGAAGCATTTTCCGAATAGCGAACTAAATTTGTTTACCGTGGGTGATTAAGCTAATATGCTTAATTATATGGACGATTGATAGAATAGCCGAAATAACGAGACTACTAGAGTTTAATACATTTCATAGCGAACAAACAATTTCGCTCAAGTGGTCATTGAATATTCCTGACATGATGCTAACTTAATTTCGTTCGCATGCTTATTACTCTCGTGATTATAGTTGTAGCATTATGATACTAATTGTGAGGAATTTGTGAAACTAATTTCACTGGTTGCTTCTAACGAATTTCTTATTGACGACCCCGTTCTCTGAATTAGTGAGGAGGTTATGATATCATGTTTTTCTCTTCGCGAGTACCATTTAAATAATCTCGTAGAATACCCCTAAATTATTATAAATATTAATATTTCCTAATATTCGGAATAAGTAAAGTTTTCAATTAAACAAAACAAGTGCCTTTACACACTTTGTGCATTAAATAAACCATTTATTATGAAAATGACACAAGTCCACTTCCGAAGAATATACACTCTACATTTAAAAAACGATTAAAAGAATAATATTTGTTTTATTATCAAATTTCCATAGAAATATTGGCGCAATAAACATGCTTACCTCCGAACAAAGCGGAAACACAAACGAACCTAATGGACTCCAGTAAACCGACACTTTTCACGTACACCCGAACCTTTAAATATCTCGAAATTACATCATTTCCACGATAAACCAAACATTTCCATTTGTTACACGAAAATATTTACGTTCCATCACTCGCCCCTTCTCCAAACACGACTCCCGATCCTCGTTCATAAAATTAATCTCATTACCCGAACGCAATTACCCTACGAACTCAAACGCCCCCGGACAATTACACAAAATAAATCACAATTCCGCGGATGCCTCTCGCCGAAGTGTCCATTCCGTTTATTTAATCAAACAGCGGCCACTCGTCGCAAGAATAAAAACAGATCGCTATGAAAATTCCGGCGACAAATAAAACCATCCACGAAATCCTCGTTGTCGCCGGGACTCGTAACGATCGAGAACGGAAAACCTCGCCCATCGGAATGCACAAGCTACGCAACCCTTACGCTAGCTTTCCATAATCCTTCGTTTACCATGCAAGTGTCTCGTTATTTCCACCCCCGGCGTTTCCAGTCCGTCCCAAAATGGTCGCGTCGGAAAATTACCAAAAAGGACAGAAAACGCTAACAAACAACAACAACAACAACAACAACAACAGCAACAGCAACAGCGACGTCAACGGCAACGATGGGGAAAAAAACCGAAAAAAGAAGGGGTGGAAGGAACACACCGGTGCAAAATTGCTTTACCGGGGCTTAGTAAATCCTCCCCGGAACGATGTTGCTTACCGGAGTCCGCTCGCTATTGGTCGGCAGCGCGTGTACGCGACAGAATTCTCTGCGGGGCGAAAAGGAGGCCGGTCGAGGGGGGTGGAAACGGCGCGAGGGGGGCGAGCTAGCGCGAATAAATCGCGCAACGCGTCGCGGAATTCTGCGGAACTGGCCGACGGGACGCCGTTACGAAGCGTAATGTTCCTCGTAAACTGCGTCGGTCGGGGAGTCCCGTGCTCCGCGAGCGTGGAGCTCTCGCCATGAGGCGAGCGGATGACTAGCCTCGGCGGCGGTGGTGACTGGACGCTGTCGTCATTTCGAATCGATACCGCGAAGGGGCGAACGCACTCGGTCCAGCTTAACGTCTTCGTCGGTTCCGGATTATTCAAACGCGGTTTTTTTTGCGCGTCGGTGCGTATTGCGGGGCGCAACGCGTTTGCAGCTTCGATGAGACCTTTGATTAACTTTTTAACTACGGATGTTATCAATAGAACGAAACTTTCGTGAGATACGACCGTCGTCAATAAGCAATTTGATGAATTATGCCAGGAACGGGGTTGCTTATTGACTTTTATTTATTTTAGCGAGATTGCACCGATGAAACATATGCGTAGAGTGTAAAGGGAGAAGGTAATTACCTCCTCTAATTTTGCCATTCTTACGTACATAAATTATCACATGTAGATAAGGAATAATTGTATTAGCATTTGTACAATTTTTCTTTTTTTCTTGTTTTGCCTTTAGGCAGACACATTTGTGAATGTTTAGTAGTTAAAGGGTTAACCCTTCACGCTGCGAGAATTTTCAGTGCCTCGATAGTTGATTTCTAGAGCGAGATTTTGAAGAATTTAAAATTTCGAAAGATTATAAGTATTCATGGATTCGTATTTTCTAATTTCTTCTGTCGATTTGGTTTATTCGAGTAAAAAGGAAAAGGAGAATTTTAGAATTTGAAATTATATGAAATCTGTAATGCAAATTATGTCTGTGTAGCAGAGCCAACGGAAAGCGAGTTAACCTTTTAGTTACCATAAGCCACTACAGTTTTCGTGAATATCGTCTTGTTGAACGGTACGCCATTGCAGCGGCTAAATTATTCCTCTGTCATCGATAGCTGTCCACATTATAATTTAATATAAGATAATTGCATAGTGGACAATTCTATCAGCTTCAAATCGCAGTTCTACTATATTTATGATATAAACGTTGTCGCGCAGAGGTATTCGGGGTATTCCCTCTGTAGCTAAAAGATTAAGAGGATGACGATCGAGAAGCAACATTGTAAACATATGTTTTTAATTTTTCTTTGGACTCGTTGCGTCAGTCATTCGATTTCGTGGAAGTCTGAACGAAATTGATTTGAAACTAATTATTGTAGCTTTACTATGAACACACCAATGGGATTGTGGATTTGTTGCTCTTTGAGGTTCTATGGGAATTCTACTGCAAACGTAACTTTCGATCTAATTCACAGTAGCAGCGAACAGTGCGGTTAGACCAGGCCAGATTTTAACCAATCGTGTTAATGTAATTTAACGAAAGCGTTCACACTTTGTGGCGATTCGCTGTTCCAATTGCCAAACGCGACTAACGCTGAAAAAGGATCATAGATCATAAGAAATGAATACAATCTGTTCGAAAAGATATATTCAGAAGTTATTGTTCAAGAAAACATATTTTTCATTTATTTTATTCATTTACTATACGGGCTTCAACCGTTTGGTAAAATTTGTCCTAAATACCAGTTATCTTTTAACTCGTTGCGGACGAATATCGACGTTTCGACGACGTCGAGCTTCCATATTTAGAATATGAAGTGAACTAATTATTTAATTTCTCAAATAGCGATAGATATTCAGTTTCCTCTTTTAATATTATTTCAGTACTTGATATATAATCTAGCTTCATTTACCGAAGGTTCTCCGTAGTCTGATGAATCTTCGTCCGCAAATGGTTAAATGTATGAAAATGAAAATTGTGCCTTTAAAAGATGTTATTAGCCTCCCATACGCAGATTCAAGATTTCTGTTAGTTCTTTACAGTTATTGGCATTGTTAGATTCGTCCTGACAGATCGGACAGAGAATAAATCGCAAAATACGGTGGCGCGGCCCGTATAAGAAAACGCACTTTAACATTTTCGTCGGTCGTGGATTATTCAACGGGTCGTGCCGCGGCGCGAACAATGCGAGTCCGCCGCGGGCCTTTGTCTTCCGGTCGATTGATCGATGCGTCGATAACCGCACGCAGCACCCCCGCTGCCTGGTGCCACGGAGCGCCTGGCTGTGCTCGCCGTTCAGTTCTTTTTGTCTTTCGGTCGGACTGTATGGCGACAACGTCATAAATCCGCGGCTGCCAAAGCGTATCGAAGGGTGGAGGAAGACGTTGGACAAACAGTCTAGCGGCGGCACGTGAAATATTCGGTCGGCGAGAAAGCGACGCGACGGTTTTTGATCGAGTCTGGATAAGAATGGTTTTTGTTGACTCGCCGATTGCCATGGGTTCGATCGGTTTCGAGTGGGATTGTTGGAGATTTCAGGAATGATAGATGCTTGTCCGATATAAAACTCGATAAGAAAATAATAACGTTAGGCGAGGAGTTTGATAAATTGTTGTCGGGAGTATAAAGGTATTTAGCTGGGAAATTATAACGGGGAGATTGATTTATCGAAAATTAACGGGTCCATTGCGATTCTATTAACTGTCTAATTATTCTTACCGTACATTGTAACGTGAACGAAAATCGAGTATTTTATTTTACATTCGCTTGGCTTTAAAACATCTAAATTTACCTTTCTACAAAGGGAAACTGTTTTCAAGAGTAGCTTTCTAGAATAATACAAGGTCGTAGATCTCTATGGATTATTATTCGTTCCAAAGCAGATTTTTCGAAAGTTCGCGGACAAAAATATTATGTACAATGGCCTTTATAATCGTCGGTGCGCGATCCTTTCAAGAAAATGGGAGCACGCGTGGAATCCCTCGAATAAAGGAAAGTGAAATGAGCAAAAGTCGTGAATTCAAAGTGCATTCCAGTCAGCGGCGGGATTCTTTGAGGTATACTTTTTAACTAGCTTTTATAATTCGTAGGTAACACTTGTAAGCACAGTTCTCACTAAATGAGTGCGGTCTGTCTTTTCATCCAATGAAAAGCTGACCCCACGCTATTCAGAATCTCTTCACCTTCGCTTAAATTCAGTAACAGCGGTGTAGATGAACCTTTTGTAAGCCTGGTTACCTATATTTCGGGCCGAGCCATAACCGGAAGCGTACCATTCTGCTCGCCGGGCTTCCCTCACCTGTCTACTCCAGTTATCAACATCAAACCCATGGACTCCTCTTTGCTCTGCAATTTCCCTTCAATTGTAATTCTGCCTTTACGCTGGTTTAATTGTTTTCTACCGCCATTCACCGAAACGTAGCAGTTTTCGAAGATAAAAGTGTACGCCGGAGTCCGGGGAAATGTTCCCGATTCTTCTAGAGGAGAAGAAAGAATTCTTGGAACACGAGCGAAATTTGAATTCATAACAAACGACAATAAAGCAACGTTCAACGATAATTAAATCTCGGGTTATTAGCGGCGTTAATTTCATTCTTTTTACCGAGAAATTAAACTTCCAATTCGGCGATTAAAACTTCGTCAGTGTTTGTACTGTCGAATCTAAGCTGAAACTTTTCTACGCGACGCCTATATACGTCACCATAAAACCCTGAATACTGAACAACGTTAAATTTCAGTGAATCTAAAGTTTATCAACAACTCGTATTAAAAATTTCATGTGAGAATCAAAATTCACCGGAAGAATCTTTTATTATTCGAGATTCTACATTAATGCATACCTTGAGTGCTAATCAATTTTAAAGCACCATTAACCTTCAGTATACAAAACAAAATTAGAATGATTCTAATAATTCATAAAAATGCAATTAACTCGCAGAAACATAGCAAACAAACTTACATAACCATATACGACAATAAACCGTACTTTACAATTCATATACTATCCTTAATTAATATGTATGCTGTGTATATATGTATATAAATCTTTTACGGGGTCCACCGACAAACTCCCGCTCCACCTTACATTCGTTTAACACGTTGAATACCATAAGAGTCACCGGTGACCCCCGATCAAATCGAATTACTCTAGTTTATCCAATTAAACGGCAATTATTTGAAAACATTTTCACAAACAATGCTACAATAATACACAATGAGCGTGCAATAATGATAACGCGGCTCGATCACATAATTTAATATTACATCTCTTCAATCTCCCGTATTTTGCTCGCTGAAATCGTGCGGTGTTCAACGCGTTAAACAATTCCTCCCTTTTTCTACTTATAGAACGCCCAAAACGCCGATCTTTTCTTTTCTCTTCGCCTTCGTTTATACCCCATTTCTACGTGCACTCTACAATAAAGCACCAACAATTCTTTATTCCAACGATATTCCAATAATCCGTAACAATGACTCGAACAGTCCCAACAATCTCGTAGATCGTCGAACTCAATCGACCATCCTTGTTCCAGAAAACCGAGAGCAACGCGACGCAGGTGACCCTGACGAATCTACAGCTGGACGCGGCTGGGAGGTACAGCTGCGAGGTGTCCGCCGACGCTCCTTCCTTCCACACGGCGATAGTTTACGCCACCATGAACGTAGTCGGTAAGGGGGTATTGCAAGCGTGTTTATTAAGTCGTAGCCAGAACTTTACGCCGTCGCTGCAAGCGATACGAAAACGTGTCGCGTTCGAGTCTGCGGGTTGAGTCTCTATGTCTCGCTCACCCTCTCTCACCCTCGATATGTCTGTCTTTCTCTTTCTCTCTCTATGTTTCTCTCTCTCTCTCCCTCTCTCTCTCTCTGTCCCTTCTCTTTCTCACTCACTCTCTCCAACTTCAAGCCTCGCAGTTTCGAACTGCGAATTAATACCAGCCACGGGCCTGGGTGGACTTAAGGGCTTACGCGAATCGCTGTGGACCGAGCCGAAGATAATACTGCGGGTACACGCGGCGGAATGAACGGGAATTAGGTGTTTTAGGTGAAGTAGAATTAGGTTAACCGTGCCGCGCTTTCTTTTCGTACGTCTCCCCGGTTTTCAAGGATCTTCGATCCCTGCTCCGACGGCTCCTGCCGCCTTTCTCTGGGTTCCTTAATCTCGTTTGGCCGACGAAGGTGATAGGTAACAGCGTTAACTAAGACCTGGATCTTTCGCCGAATGATCTCCCCCGCGATCACGTTGGATTCGTTTCAGTATCGACGGCTGCACGTTTCACGAGTTAAAATTATTCTTAACAGTTTGCTGTTTCTCGCGGATTATATCTGGACCGGGAAAACTCGGGTAAATTGATTAGCCGATAAAGTAAAAGTAAATCGAAGGAACGTAGCGACAACGCAATGAGAGGTAGAAATATTGTAAGATGTTAAGTGATTCGTGAATGATGCCGGATGGAAAATGTTTCGAATGTAGAACAAGTGGGTTAAAGAGATATTTATTATTGCGAGAAGGTCATACGAGGCACGTGCATACTATAAAACTGAGATAACAGTCAGCTGAACGGCGACACGTTTTACAGTCCTGTCGGGTCTCCCATTCGTGAACGTCAGTGTGATTCGGACCGTAATAGCGCTGACATGGTAATCAAATCGTGTATAAACATGATTTTACTATCAATGTTCTCAAATAAATAATTAAAACATTATGTTAAATTATATTTCACTAAACTTCGACTCAAATTTCAAAATAAAACGTCTTATTCTAAGAACAACAATGCTAACATTGTTCCTACCGAAGGTGTCAAGACACCTTTCGAAATTTTAACTTACAATTGTTTCCTCAGTTTTTCTGCAATTGAACTTTGGACATTTCCTATAGTGAATTTTATAATCGTTATTGGAAAAGTCGAAAAGTCAATTGAATACACAACTAAACTTGGAAAGTGATGTTAAGTTAACGCTAAACCTACCGGACGAGTCGAAATGATTCCTGATTTCTCTTTTTCGCAGTTATTTAAAAGATGACGGATACTTCTCTGAGAAATTATTCAAGAAATTGATTTATCGATACGCCAACTGAATTGTAAATCAATTAAAGTCCCAATAGATGCACTCTTAAAGTTACTATAAAGGAATCTCAAAGAGTCAATCTAACTCAGTACGTTTACTGTTGAAATTCCGAGAGATCCTTCGACAGCTTCGCTGGAAACACCGTCGAAACCGAGCTAACGATGAAAAACATTCTTCCCCCTCGACTCGCCATCAGTAACGCGTACTTTTATTAAACCGAGAAATCCTCAGCGCGAGTCTTACCCGCCATTACCCGGCAAAGGGTTGAAACGACGCGTCAGACGAAGTAGCTCGCATCAACCCCCGTCGACCCGGGTCCACCCCAGCTCGACTCAGGGGGCGAGCCTGGTTGCTCATTAATTTATCGGAGAAAATGACAAATTGCGAGGCCAAATGGCGCGAAAAGCTGAAACGCGCGGCGTGTAACAAAGCTCGCCCACCCCTGGCTCCGGGGGTGGATTAAAGATAGTTTCCAGCGGGCGGCGGTGGTCCCGCGACGGGGCCGTTTACGCTTGTTGGTACGGTAAATACACAGGGCGGCTGCGAATCCCCGTAAATTCGGGAGCATCTCGTTTCATTGTTGCGCCCGTTGAATGGCGTAGAGGGCGAAGAAAGCGAACAGCCCGCGATTGCGCGCGCGCGCGCGCGCACGGCGAACAAATAGCGAGAATTACCATTCCGCGCGGAGGCCAGCTATTTTATAATTGCTATTTTAGCTGACTGCACGCTGGACCCGGTTTAATGATCGTTTTATGACGCCATTACAGTCTTCGGATACGCCTTTTGTGCCGCGCTAAGCCGCGGCGACAAAGGGACCCGGGATTAAGCAATAAATTCCCGTCCCGCGGAATATTTGTAACGGATTGCAGGGCGCCGCGCCGCGCCGCACCGCGCGAAGAGGCACTCGTAAATAAAGATCCGCCGCGGAAAACGTAATTAAGAAGTTAATGCGGCGGTTGGCGCGAGACCGGCACTCTCTTAAGGGGTTGCGGACAAGTGGAACTGGCGGGCGCGAGGCAATGTTCGGGTATTTATTTCCTGGTTCGAGTTTATTTTATTCGGTAATTGTTTTCGTCGGTTCAGGGCGCTGGGTTTGAGCGGTAATTCTTGCGATGAACGGTTTTTTTAGAGTAATGGGGATTGTTTCTTTGGACGAGACGCGTCTCGAATGCTTTGTTTTAATGGTATGCTGGAATTGGATGTTTTCGGGGTTGACTTTGATATTTCTGGATTGAATTATTGTTTTATAATCAGTTCAATGAAGCCAAAGATTGCGAATGTTGTTCTTTTAACACTAACCGTACCGGGATTTCTAATTCTTATTTTGTTCATTTAATTTTATATCAATTCCTATATTGTCCGATTAATTGGTTTTTCAATTTTCATTCTGCCTTTTGTTTGTGTTTAGATTAAAAAAATGGTATCATCTAATTTATTTATATCTAATTTGTAACCAGTTATTTGACTAGTTACGGCAGGAAAAGTGCCGATATGGTTAGCGTTAGGATAAAATATAATTTTTTCATTTTCGTCAACGGTCCCCGAAAACGGCTTGGTCTTACAAGTAGCTCGCACAAAAAATCAGCAAGAGTGCAAAGAGTTACATTTTGTAGTGGACTATAGTTTATGTAATGAGTTTATGATTTATTTGTCTGGTGGACAATTGGTAACCCTTACCAGTGCTACCGACAGTCTAATTATCAAGCACGGATACAAAATAATTGCAACATTAAAATATGTATGAATGAATTTTCTATTTTTTGATATTATTTTATGTTTACTATTTTTATTAAATTTGAATAATCGAATTTCCTCTTTGGAATCAATAAAATATATTGAAGCAACTGGAAATCATTCTACGATATTCTTCGAGTGTTAAGGGTTGATAATAAAGTTGTTTGGAATCTAGTTAGGAAGAAGGTTAAAGACAGCGTTTTGGGTTTCAGAAATATCAGAAATGCCTGTAAAATTGACAAATATATCTTATATTTATTCTAATCGCGTTTTAAACCGAGAAATGTCTAAAACGAGGAGAATCTGTTTCAGTGATTGATTTTAAAGTCAAATGACGTAAATAGAACTGGCGCGTTGATGTAGAAATATTCAAAATAAAGTTTTCACTCAGAGGCGGTAAATGCCATGATAATAATAGCCAGTTAAAACGAGAAACTTTAAATCTTTTCAAATTCTAATTCGTCGCGAATTTACTTGACCGATTTCTCTATTAATATTCTGACATAGTCTCGCGAAAAATCCGAAAATCGATAGTCTCCGAAGCGAGGCTAAAAATGATCGCGTCTGCAATTAACACAAAAACTACCGAGCAGTTACATTCATCTTTTGAAATTCCTCTATAGAAACTCCAAGAGTGCATCTATTCAGACTTCAATTGGTTTTCAATTCAGTTCGTACATTGCTACATCAGTTTCTTGAATAATTTCTCAGAGAAAAAAAAGAGAAAGAAAAAGAAGAAATCAGGAATGGATCATTTCGACCCTCCTGGTAGTTCTAGTGTTAAAGGAAACAGTGGTATCTTCGCCGAATGATCATATAATAACGCGATATCGCTTCGTTAACGCGCTGTAAACGTGACAGAAACGAGAAACATATTATTACGCGAAAAGTAAAGCGCGGGTGTGTGTTATCGCGTGTCATTAAGAACGAGCGGCTAGAGGGACTTTCAGAAATAGCACTTCAAGCCTTTTTTAACTTGTCGAGAAACTTCGCGCGAAGAATACTTGACACACAAAATAAATGCACAATAAAGAATAGACGTGGTCGTTTATGCCAAGCGCGAGAGGGTTCGAATCGATAAAATACGAGCCACACAATCGGCGGGAACGTTAACGTCTGTGTGCATACACAGGATCAAGTATGGAAAAAGAATATACGCGAGGCAGCGTATAGATCATCGGCAAATGAATTTCGATTAAAATATGCGGAGATAATAAAGCTCGTCGGTCCAGTTGAAACGTGGAATTCCGATGATGATGGACATTCTCCTCGTGAAATTCATTAACAGAATTTTGACGAGAAGTGCGTCAGCTGTCTGGCCCGAAATGGTTGAATTCCATCGATCCTCGTTTCCATCGGATCGCCAAGATCGCTTCGTTCGATTCAACGCAGCAAAATTATTAAACTTGAAATTTGATATTAAATCTTGTATAAGAAATCAGTATATTAGACATAGAAATATAATTATTCTGCCCCCTTTTTTCGTATTAATTGTAATTAATATTATCGATATTTCATTAAAAGGTGATGAACATTTATACTAAAAAGTACAGTCGAGCGCAGAGGGTTAAATTTCGAATTGACTTCGGTATTTCATAGGACCTTTGAAATCAATATATCAAACACAGAAACACAAATATTCCACCCCTTTTGTCGCATTAATTTCACCTAATATTATCAATATTTCATCAGAAAACATTATTTATACTAAAAAATATAGTCGAGCACAAAGAGTTAAATTTCGAATTGACTTCGGTATTTCCTGAGACCTTTCAAATCAACGTATCAAACATAGAAATAAAAATATTCCACCCCTTTTATCGTATGAATTTCACCTAATATTATCAATATTTCATCAGAAAAGATTATTTATATTAAAAAATATAGTCGAGCACAAAGAGTTAAATTTCGAATTGACTCCGGTATTTCCTGAGACCTTTCAAATCAACGTATCAAACATAGAAATAAAAATATTCCACCCCTTTTATCGTATGAATTTCACCTAATATTACCAATATTTCACCAAAAGACATTATTTATACTAAGATATATTGTCGAGCACAAAGGGTTAAGTTTCCAATAGACTTGCCCCGAAAGTCCGCAGGAGCCGCGAGGGGGAACAAATGCGTGGATAAAAGTCTCGTATACGAGCGACACGATATTTAAATGGGGCCGCGAAACGATAACGCACGACGGTGACTTCGTTCTCGTGGCGCGGAATGTTTCCAATTTCTCGGTTCGCGCGCGGTGTGTCGCGTTATGGGAATATACTTATGTCCGCGCGAATCGGGCCGCCCGCGCCGCGTATCAAATCGAGGGGGCGAGAAAGTTTCGCGCGATCCTCGATCTCGCCGTGATTCGAAAACTCGGATGGAAAAATTCCGTGGGACGGCCAACTAGCCGCGACGATGTGTGCGCGATTCTACCGATCTGGATTTACAAAATTTATAACGCCGTTGTTCCCCGACAAACCGCGTGTGCGCGCTCAACGGAACTTGGTTTCCCGAAGTAATATACGGAAGATTACCGATCGGCGTACACCGGATTTTTACGCTGGATTGAATGTTTTTAATAGAAAATCGCGGAAAACCGAAGCGAAACGGAATTTCATTTTCAGCGTTAATAACTTGAGCGAGTTAAAAATAACGTAATACGGAATAATGTTCGGCGGGGTTCCGTCGTGTTCTTTTTTTTTCCGGGGGCTTTATAATTTATATATGCATGAAAATTCAGAGTGTACAGAGCGTATTTAATTTTCAATGAAGTAATCGCGAGCTTGTGGGAGAATGTTGCGGTAAATTAATTAATTTTTCGTTTAATGTATTCTGTTCAGCGGTGAGAGCAGTTCGGAGGTTAGTTTTGATAAGAGTCTTTTTGAACGTCCTTCGCGTCCAATGACGGATTAACTAATGTAAAAGAGGTTGTCGCTGTACCGTGGATGCGCGGATGTTTTAATAAAAATGTAAATATAATAAGATAAATATGGCGTTCGTTATTACAACGGATATTTATTATGGAAATAAATATTGAAACGAATATGCAGCCCTTGCTTGGCTGAAACGGAAAAGTAATTTTTCATTATTTACCTTGTTTTTTTTTATTTGCTTTGAATGTACATAGTATTATTCGATTGTTTTTAATCCTGTTACTGAGCCGTACCTTCTTCGTTAAAGTATAAAAACATGGAACAACGGTAACTGTATTCATTGCAAATATTTTATAAATATGGGAAGATTTAAGGAAACCCTGTTATAAACGTGTATAAATTAAGGATGTCTTTCTTACGGTAAATAAAACTAAGAAACATAAATCGGCTGTCCAGAAAAAAGGGAAAATAAATATCTTTATTACGGTAAACAAACATAAAAAAATTCAAGAAGATTATCAAACAAACGAGGAAAAATATAAAATATCTTCTTTACGGTAAACAAAAATAAAAAATTCAAGAAGATTATCAAGTAAGTAAGAAATAGAAAATATAATGTTTCACGCAATAACAGAAACTGAAAAAACGTAAGGAAACAGGTTATCAAGTGAACAAGAAAAAATGCAAAATACCTTTCTCGCAATAACAAAGAATTAAAAAACCCCAAGGAGCCAAGTTAACGAATACCTCGAAATCCCAACGAAACCCGTCGATCTTTTCACAAACGAACCCTCCGAAATCGCGATGCGCAGTCACGAATTCATTCGGTTAATCCTTAATTCGTTCATCCTTTTGGTCCTCGTCGAAAACAGTCTGTCCGCGTTTCACCGTGGCGCGGGCCGTTCGAAAAATTACACGTCGAAATTCCGGCGGTACACAGGAATATGGAATTTCCCTGGTTTCAGCGGGCGCGGGGCGGTGTTTTGATAAAACGCCGTGTTCCGGGCGTCCCGAAATTTTTTAACTAACGCGCACAATACCTCGGGGGAAAAAGCGGAAGTGGACGGCGAGGCGAATCTTTCGCGCGCGTCCCGTTCTGCTTTTAATAAATCCGAAATTCCGGGTGAGGAACAGTCGTATAATCTTGTCCGTGCGCCGGGGGCGGGCCGGTAAGCCGCGGGGGTTGAAAAAGGAGCTCCTCGTTTTATCTGGCCGGAATGTTTCCAGTTTTCGCGGAGTGGGGTAAGGGTTCCCGTGTACGTTTTCGCCGTGTTTGTTCTCCGATGAATGCTTGCGGTAGTCGCTCGGATGTTTTACATGGAAGTCGAAACGACGGTAGGGGGGTGGGAAGTGGTCGCTGGGAGGAGACGGAAAGAGAGGGCAACGCAGGGAAAAGGGTGGAACGAAAACGGGCGGCTCGGAGAAGCTCTTACGGATCATAAAAGCGATGGGATACGACGAGAAAGGAGCGCGAGGATCCTCCTACCCGAAACCGGCTCTCGTTATTCCAGAAACGCGGGCTCGCGCACCGTCTGCACCGCCGATCGTTTGACTACACCGCGTCGGTCGCGCGAGTCCTACCCGATACGGCAACCCTTGTCTACAGTGTACTCGCGCGGCCGCCAGGAAAAAAGGAAGAAACTGAAAGGGGAACGGCGAGGAGAGATATCAAACGCGCACCGTTCGGGTACATATCGGCAAAATATTTGGCGCCAGACGCGACTCGCGGGGCTGAAAGAATCCGGGACAATAGTGTCCCTCTTATGAATACATTACTCCGATATCGAAACGCGAGCGCGAATTGCCAGGCATGAAAGGAGAATTTTTCATCGGACGAGGGGGCGGGAGACACCGGTGCACGGGGGTGCGAGTGAATCGTAGGAAGAGAGAGAGAGAGAGAGAGAGAGAGGAAGGGTGGACGACGGAGAGAGAAAAAGAGACAGAGTACCGGTTATGTTGGCATATCCGGGAATCTTGAAAAGTTTTGCCTCCCTTTTCGTGGCCCGATACGTGTACACACGGCGGGCAGCTCACGTCAAAGCGGTGTTTCGAACATGCCTCGCATACTTCCGGCCCCTGTTACACCCCCCTCCCCACTCTTGCTGCTTCGACGTTCCTACTCTACAACCTGCCTGTATACCCGGTCGTCTCTTGTTCCGCAGAATTACCCTCTGAAGGGCCGTCGATACACGGGTTAAAGAGGAAATACCGGATTAACGATATGTTACGTTTGAACTGCACATCCGGACGGAGCAAACCCGCGGCCAATCTCACCTGGTACATCAACGACCGACAAGTACGGGTCTGGTATTTGTATATGTTTATATATATGTGTATATATGTGTGTGTATGTGTGTGAGATAGAGTGTTTGCGAGCATGTGTGCAAACGCCGGAACGAAGTCCGTGAATTCCGCCGGTTCCCGCAAGACGCAGCCGAACCCCTTCCTTCCCGCGACCCCTTTTCGTGGCTGTTTCAACAACTCGCTGAATGATGGAGCCTTGTATTATACGCCGATGGGAAGTCGGCCGGCTATTTACGAGCTGCAACGACTTAGGGGCAAGAGAAATCGTCTGCTCGCTCCACTTAGCACTCTTTAACGCGTCGACCGGTGAATCGACGCTCGTCACGTTACTCGTAAAATCGAATCTTAGTTTCGCGGCGGAGAGGATTGAACTGCGGGGATTTTTCGTGGTGGTTGATCCGTCGGTGTTGCGTGTCGAAGATCGGATATTCGGTTTGTCGCACGTGGGAAAATTCTGTTTTACGTTTGCGAAGTTTGACTGGATCCGGGGGACACGGTGGTTAATGAGTGATGAGTTAATAGCAGGATTATATTTGGGTAATTGAGCCAGTCATCCGGGAAAGAGATGAATTCTAGAAAATGAGGGGCACTTTGATAAGATCGTGAGACTCGCGTGGAGTAGGAATTAAATATTTTAGCACTGAAATTAGAGGGCATTTGGAAAGTAGAGGTAATCGAGACTCGTAGTTAAATTATTCTAGTCGTAGTTATTTCGTGAATAATGTATTATGTCTCACTTTGTTACAGTTTCCTTCGTTTGTGTTTCCCGTTGCGCGATTCGGTTAATATCGAGAATGTTCCAAAATAGCGGCGTCACTATCGCTGCAGGCTGTGAATAGAGCATCGCGGCCAGTCGATTCCCTTTGCTGCTGCGCTGTTTCAGCTTATAGGTAGCCGGCCAACTTCCCATCTGCCTATGATACTTTGGCGGGTATGGTTATTAGGTGTGCTCGCCGAGTAATCCGATGCGCACGATGAATCCGCCGGCGCGCCGGAAGTAAGGAGTCCGCGATAGTTCGGGCACAGCCGACGGCAAAAGTGTTCATTTAAATGATGCAGCCTTTGTTCGCCCTTCGTGGGTTGCTTACGCGTTGCTCCTGGCGGAAGTGTTCATTTGGATGATGCGTTTTCGTTTGGGCCTTTTTGAGTTACGTTTCAGCGTGCGTCTGATGCCAGCGGTGTTTGTTTAAGTCCCCGTGGCGTCGGGAAAGGAACATTTTTCGCTTCAACGTGTTTTGTTTTACTTCCTCTTCTCGCATGTTTGTTAGTAAAGGGATTTAGCAACTGAATATTTTCATTAACCTCGTTTGAATGAGTACTTTTACTATGGAATGGAAGAGAAAAGTGGAAACATATGGTTCTTTTCAAATAATTCTTACAAAATCATCTGAATTCGAATTTTCTTCTTTCTGAATCTAAAGTCGCGTCAGTCACTTATTGTGATTATCTACAACTTTGATGTTCCATGTTATACCTATTAATATATTCATTTTGAAACTTCTCTCATCTCCATTCAACGTTCAAACGCTTCAACGTTTAATAGTTCTCTCATCGAAAAGATGTTCCCCCAACGTCCTTCCCAAATTCCCGTGCTCTCAGCGTCGGATATTCCGCTGTACACGTACGCGTTTCGAATTCCACAAATTCCTCCGATGTTCCTTCCAATTTCCTTATTCTCCGCCCACCTAATACAGTAAAAGCTCCGAACGCGGCGTTGGCCGAAAGAAAATCGAGATCAATGTACAGGCAAATTCGCGGAGTGGGTGCACGTACTACTTACCCACACGAACGCGCGCGAGTTGGCGAGCGTGTCCGAGCAATGCTGATTGTTACTGCTTGTTGTAAACTACCCGTCGGCGGTCGCAACCGTTCCGCGGTAATTTCGCGCGGGCCCGACGCGAGATCGCTAATTCATTCTTACCGCTCGCGAAACTGTTAGCCGGCCTTCCTCCCGGCGTTGACGAAAAATTTCTGTCGGACAACGGGACGGTACACACCCCATAAAAACTTGGCGTTCAGACCCGGGGCTCCATACTCGCCGGCTCATCTTTATGCATTGTATTAAGAATTTCATTTCGAACGAAAGTTCCCGGGGACGAACGGGGATTTGTCTCTCTGCTTAATGGAAAGCGGGGATTCACTCGACGACAAAATAAAACACGCTACCTTTTAAATTAAACTTCCTCCCGCCGGTCTCTTATTAGAAAAATTATCCACGGCAACTACCCCGCGGCCAATTCAGCGTTTCACTTTCCAAGGGACGAAGCCGCTTCCTCCGGGACGCGTCGAATATCTCGCGAACGGGTGCGCCTTCGCCGAAACACAGATTATAAAGTGACCGTAATGCAGCGTCTCGTAAGTAGCTTGCTCCGGAAACATGATTGCTATCGCGGGAAGACGGTGGATGTTTAGCTTCCCCATGACGCGCGATTACGCGACGCGTTTAGTTGACACGGGATTTTCCGGCGTCGGAAGGATTTTTCGCGTCTTGACGCGCGAATATTATCCCGCGAGAAATTCCGACCGACATTAG